AAAAAAAAAAAAAAAAAAAAAAAAACGTTTATTTCGTAATAATAAAAGTAATTCTACTGCGCCATTTTAACAAAAATTGGGTAGAGCGGAAAGAGTTTTTTTTTACCATTTTCGATTTCGATTAATCGAATCTAAATCGAATTTATAATTGCGTCGGAGTCACGTGACGTTACACAAATTTCCAAAAAAAGGAAATTTTGCTCCCCGGAAATTTCGGAAAATCACGAAATTTTGGTTACACGGGTTTCCGAAAATGGATATTTTATGTCGATCACTTAATTCTGGCCGAAATTAAGGAATTAAGATTTTAATGGTGAAATTTATGTTAATCATCAATGTTGATCATTTTTCAGCAATTTTGATAATTCCGATATCTGATATTATTTTTTTTACCATAACGTAGTTATAGAAATGACATGACTACTTTTGTTGCACCATAATATATCGATTCTACTAGATACGATTCGATTTTCGATTAATTCGATTTTAGTAGAATCGATTCCAATCCCTATTCCGGAATTAGTAACCTTGTATCACGGAATTTATTGAATCATTTACATTTTCCGTGAATGGATCCGTGAAAGGCTCATTTTACGGAGTTTTTACAGAGATTTCGGATAATATTGATCAACTTCGCCTACGCAAAGTCCTGATTTTTAAACCCAATCGAAAATATTGGGGATAAATTAGAGTGTCACATTCGTAGGCATATCCCTTTGCCAAAAAACGAGGTTGAATTATTCAATTTGTTGGAGGAGGAGTGGTTTAAGATGAATCAATTTATCAAAATCTAGTCGAAAGTATGAGAAGATGTGTCTAAGCTGTAGTTAAAGCCAAAGGATATCCTGCCCGATATTAATAAATGTAGATAAAAGTATATTGATATGGTTTCTCAATAAAAAAATTTGAACACAAATTAATAGATCGCACACCATATATTACAGACTTTAAGACCAATAAATGAACAAAAATCAGATGATAAAGTAGTATATGGGAGTAACGCCATATATTGTGGCACTTACGATAATAGATTTTATTATTATTAGTTTCTATTTATTTCCACCAAGAGATCGATGAGCAGTAATAAAATAATCTAATCACGCGACACAAATCAAGCATACAATGATGAAAAGTAATAATTTTAAATAATTTATTATATTTCGACATCAAAAAAAAATGAACAATGTTAAATAAAGTATTTATTTAATTAAATATATAAATTTCTTTTATCGAGATTATGAAATTACACACAAAGGAGAATCCCTCCCTGAATTACTTATTGCACTCCTCAAACTCTCATTGTCTCTCCGCATTTGCTCTAACATTTGAGAGTGATGTCTTTCACTCGCTGCAATTTGTTCAGCAAGTTGTTTCTGGAAAAACTCATTTTGTTTTTCAATGGCTTTCTCTTTATCTTGGCGTAATTGTTCTTTTAATTCTTCAGTTCTTTTACGATTTGCTTCTTCAGCCTCTCTTTGTATTTGCTCAAATTTGGCTTGTTGTTGTTCAAGTAATTTCCTTTTGTCTTCTTCATTTAATTTTTGTTGTTCAAGCATTTCGTTGTGCAATTGCTCAAGTTTCTGATTATATTTTTCTGCCGCAATATCTCTTTCTTTAATTAAACGCTCTTTCATCTCTTCATGCGATCTAGTTTGTTGGTCAATATTTGCTTGTAATTCTTCCATTTTCGTTTTGAAATTTCTTTCACTTTCTTCGCGCTCATGTTTTTGTGCTTCTATTTCCCTACGGAATTCTTCTTCACGTGCCAATGCTTCTAACCGGAGTGTCTCAGCCTCTTCTTTGGCTTTCATTGCCTTTGCTAATTCTGCATTCATTCTTCCTAATTGCGTCATGTATTCAATTGCAGTTGGGTATTGATTCTGCATGTATGAAGCGATTACTTTAGCAGCTTCAGGAGACTTCATCATTGATTTTTCGTAAGCTAATTCGAAAGCTTCGAGTGCTTCCTGAAATTCATCATTGCTCTATTTAAATGGAATCATTAAATTCTGTTAATATTTGCTTGCTAAATTTAAAAAAAAAAATTAAAAAGAAATCATACCTCAAATAAGTTTTCTTGATTTAATCAAATCTTTACGTATCTTTCCCAATAATCCTTCGCAATATTTTCATTATGAGCCGTTAATTCATCAGAATTTCTTTTCGTGAATTCTTCTTTAATTTTGGACATTTTTTCGCTAAGTTCTTCGATAAAACTTTCCATTTGAGTAGGACTTCCAATTACTTTTTCAAAAAAATATTTATTGGCTTCTGAAATACAATTATTATGTATTTCTGTGAATTCATCCCATAAAATTGGTAATTTTACTTCTTCATTTAACAAATGGTCCATTTGTTCTTGATAAACTCCTACAGCTTCTTTAATTGCTTCTTGTGCGACAAATTGTATAATTGATTCATACTCGGAAGGAATTGAAAGTAATGATGATGTTTCTGATTTGTTCATACGTTCAACGATATCATTTAGAAATTTCACAAAAGCTGAACCTTTCATAGTGGAAGATCCAATGTATTTAAGAGGAATTTGAGAATAAATTGATTTTACAGCATTCTCTACTTCGTCAACAAATTCTTCATCAAGTTCATCGGTATCAGCGTCTTCCATATGCTGTAACATTTTTCTTTTACATCCTGGATGCTATGTGAAAGTAAAATATAGTTAGATATAATAAATAGATTAATAATTTAAATGTTTAATAACCTACAGGCAACCTAAAATTCATGAAAAAAAAAATAGTTTATTATAAATAAATTTATATATAATAGCTTATAAATTGTATATTTATATTTACCCGTATACATCAAAGTCATAAAAGAATTTCTTAATTCCTTTAGCAGCTATAAAATTTTTTTTGTTAGAATTAATCAGTTTATATTACCATTATTAGTAAATTTCTTTATTTGTAACTTACCTTCGGGATTGACATTATTTAATTTTTCCAAAAAATAATCTTTAAAGCTCTCAGGACTTTCTAAAGTAAAATCACGTAATAAAATAACTAATCTCGGTAAAAAGTCGCCTTCTTCTGGCTCTTGAATGAAATTACTTAGATCGGTCATTAGGTACAATTTACCGATATCATCTCTACCAACAATCCCATTTATATTATAAATAAAAGTAGAAGAAAGGGCTAAACATAAAATAAATAGTTTCGTCGCCCAATGTTGGTCCTGTTTTGGATCGTCAATTCCTTCGCTATCCAAGACAATAACTCGTTTCTGAATTATTTTACCATCAGGTTGTTCACTTTCTAACGTGAATGGAGGAGACCACATGTATATTCCACGTGTGCACCCTTCTACTTTTGCTCCCAGATCAAAACCGTCATGTCGTCCATGCAATACATTTGCGAACCAAGATTTACCACGGCGATAAGAACCAACTATTTAAAAAATTAAATGGTATCATGTGAATATCAGGCGATGAAGTCTTAACAAATATATTTACTATTGATTTCTGATATAATTTTTACCAACTGAAATAATCGCAAGAGGTTCCCGGATGGTTTGAAGAATGTTTAATGCTACTGGATTAAGAACGATTTTACCGAAACCGTCTTTCGAATTATCTTCGACATATTGTAATAGCTGTATTGGAGCACCTTCACGAAATTCTATTTTTCTACCAAACCTATTACCTGCAGACATAATTTTAACAAACTAAAAAATATAAGATAGTTTATTTATAGAATTTTAAATTGTTACAAAAAAATGATTTTTTTTTTTAAATAAATTTGTTTTCGAAGCATTTATAAAGAATTATTCCAATCCGAGATATCGATATAATGACATACATAGTTAAAGCTTGCCTGATTGTGACTGAAAAAAAACAATTAAATTCTAATACATATTTTGTATTTTCATGCATTTTCACATTGTCTTACAAATTTTTTTTACATTTTATAGGATTCTCAACTGTTCTTTTTTTCTTTTTTTCCTTTTTTCTTTTTGATTTAGTTAATTTTACGGTTTAGTGTTCAGGATTTAATGGAAGCTTGCGAACGTTCAAAATGGATGTCTTGATTATGCGACAATCATATGATTATAAAAGTTCATCTAAACCAATAAATTTAGGCCGTCACAATCGTCACGCACATTCATTAACTTCTATTGACGATCAATATCGGAAAGAGGATTTAATGAGTCACATTTTTTTCAAAAATGTTTATTATAATGAAGGGTATGGAATTTCACATCTGCAGAACCACGTTCTTTTCAAATGAAAATGTCATACAAAAAATTTCGAAACGTTCACCGATAAAGGCTAAAATTTCCTATTAAGAGAGAGAAAGTCAAATTTAACTTTGAAGGTTTAGGTTAAAAGATTTGTAATCTACTATGATTCTATTCATAATCGGTGTGAACCTCGTTTCTTAAAGAAAATTTGCTTTTTAGAACTAACACTTCGGCTTTGAACCACAAATACCTCGGATAAAGATAAAAAAAATGAGAAGCACGAATCTAAAGAAAAAATCAATGATAAGATGGGATTTTTATACAAAAAATCCATTGGACTTTGTTAGTATTAATCGTTTGTGCTGTTTTAATATGTTTTAATAGTATATTTTTTATTTTTTGAATATATTTTCAAATTCTTTTCACTAAAGTTATAATTTCATAATTAGAAGGTATAGTTCAAATAGGTAAATTGATTTATAGCCAGAAATAGAATCAATCAATTTTATGCCATGATCATATAATTTAATGTAATATAACTATATGAGCACGAAATATTTTTATATACTAACTTATTATAATATTCATCATTTGTATTAAATGTAATCATATCATAGTGATTCTTTACTAAAGATTTTTTAATTTAAAAAATTGCTTCAATTTTGTGGAGGGTTTTTGAATTATTGGATTCTTGTGCGACTTTCGGAACAGTCGTGTTTTACGACCAATGCCAAGTGTTCGGAGACTATTAGGATCCGATGCTTCGAAGAATTTGAGGATTAATGTATTGGATGGAGAGTAGACAAAAACATAAAGGGAGAATTTATAATATGCCAAAAAATACATAACTGCGCAAGTCTGTTTTCAGAGTCGGATCCACGTTATCCCACAGTTTGCGCGTGCAAATAGCGGTTAGGTTTGTTATGAGTATCGCCTGATGTAGGATTATGTAACAATTTCTTTAATGTTTTTTGGATGTGATTGTTATTTTTTTGTATAATTTTGGTAAGTATTTAGTATAACATTGGATAGTCCTTTAGATAGAATGGTTAGTTATAGGGATGTATCATTTTAGATGAGCATCTCTGTGTATTTTCTTTAAAATTATGTATTTTATTTTATGCTATAGATTGTAATTAATAAAGAAATGCGTTTAATACTATTTTTTTTTTTATAAAAAAAAAAAAATTATTTAAGTTGATTTACCATGCAAATATTTTCAATTTTTAGAGACTTACATGTATTTATTTTACAATGATATTAACGTTCTTTAATAATTTTTATTTTAGCATCGGGTTCTGTAATGGATGGAACAGTGACATGCCGCAGATTAGTAAATACAGTATAATAGAAAATAACAAAGAAGTGGGTTCATTCATTGCAAAACTTACTACAAGCGTTTTCCAACAAAGTAATGGATGCAGAAGTTGCATTGAGAAACATGTATCGTAATGGTCACATATTATTTTTGGTATTTAACAACGAAATTTACGAGATTATATCAAAGTTTAATTCATACAATGGATGGTTCGGGAAATTCGTGTACATAGGTGGTTAAAAGTATCGATGAATTTAGTGGAAAGGTTACTCATGCAATGAAAGCATTTGTTGATGCTGAATCTTACAGAGGCCTCGCTGAAAAAAAGTACGACAGGGTATTATCGAAGCTACTAAATTTATTCATCATGATCCTGACGTAAAGTATATTTTAAGGTCAAAGAGGAAAGATATATTCCGGAAAAATTATTGGTAATAAAGCTATTGCTTGATGCATTGAAATGCAATGGACAAATTGAAACACGCAGAAAACATCGACTTCAACCTTTTATAATTTGGTTTAAAACTGAGTTCATTCGTACCAAAAATACCCAAAACCGAACAGAATCGTAAATCGGTTCGAGGCCATCCCTAAATTGGGATTAATTCCAAAATTCCAAAATTCAAGATCTATAGACACAAGTATCATGGTTCGAATCTGAGCGTTGCCCGAATGCATGAGCGACATGATTAGTTTCAAAGGCTTAGAACAGCGTGGAATTACGTTTGTCTTTAAGAGCGCTTCGCTTATTTCTGCTTGCTTCTCACATTTAAAGTATGTAAATAATTTTTTTCTTAAATTTTATGATTACTTATAAAAAAGATATTTTCCTGAAGTATGATTATTACATACTACTATTATTATTAATAATTCCTCTAATATCCTCTAAAATTAAATATAATTTGTTAATTTCATGCCATTCAGATTTTTCATTGAGGTAGTCTTTATACAAACTTTGTTATTGCATGCAGTGTTGTACATTTTTGATGTCCGCAGCTTTTTTTGGTTGTCCCAGACATGTCCGCGCTCTGTCCGTACTCTTCTGTAACTTAAAACTCTACAAAAATTATATATATTTATGCATAATTGGATGCTAAAATTTTTGCTAAGTATCGAACAAGGTTATCATAGTAAGATTTTGAGGGGTCGGTTATCATTTCTTTTTTGTGTAACATGTCCCGGACTATACATGTTGCCGAAACTTTTTTTCAATTTCGGCCGCATTTCGGCACCAAAATATAGCTACTTGTAGATATATCAATAAAATTTTTTAAACCTCAGATAATTTGGGCCAGATCTGCAGCAACTTTTGGCAGACTTCAGAAAATTTCGGCATAATCTGCAATAATTTCGAATCAGACTTTAAAGTTTTGGCCATATATTAAATATATGTTGTCCGAAATTCCAGAGCCCTGCCGAAATTATGTAAGTTGGTCGAAATTCCTCAAAAGTTCTTTCATAGGTTCTTCAGACCCAGATTAACCTATTTGAAGCCTAATTTCAGCCAAATCTATGAAATCAGATGATCTTGCTTTGAAGAGTTTGTCACGTGGGCGAAATAGCCGAAATATTTCGGCAACATGTATATCCCGGACATTGTCCCGTGACAACACTGAATTTACATGTACGTGTACAATTAAATGAATTAATGCTTTCGAGTTCATCGAAATTATGCTCATATTGATACAGCATTAAAAATGATCATTACATCGGTGTTCATTCAAACAAGATTAATTAATAATTTTGTATAAGCAAAGAAATCAGAATTTTTCAGCATTTATAATTTCAATTTGTAGTGTATACAGCAACTATATTTATTATATTTTATAAAAATTTCCGATATTTAATAACTTAGAATTTATGTCTAACATGTTCCTCCCTCCATTTAAAATTTAAATTCCCAGATGAACTGATCAATTTTGAAATATTTCTCCTCTTCCTAATTTTTTAATTACTCAGAATAAAGTGAAGAATATGTGGAGTATATTAATCAAATTAATACTTACAACTAGTCATATCAAAGTTTTCATAAACTACAGTACACGAAGAAAAAGGACATAACAGATAAATTAACGGGAAAAGGAAGAGAAAGTAATTTACCACTTGAAGCCCTTTGAAGCCCATTGCCATTATTGAGACTAATAAGGCAACAGCAAGAAACAGCCAAGAGGGAATAACACCACGGATTAGAGGTAGACAGAGAGTATTATGTGCAATTAACCAAGAAAGAAACTTCAGACGATGAAGTATGATCTGTTTGTTTTGAATTGATCGTGTAAAACGTTGAACTTTCTTGTAACCACTGCCAAAAAAGATGACCTTCATTTTCAAATCGCTCAACAAAAATGAGTTATCCGGACTTTTCGCCGAAGTCCATTTCACCGAAACCCATTTCGCCGAAGCAATTTCTCCGAAGCAATTTCACCGAAACAATTTCACGGAAATAAAACACCACATTTGGGTTGATATACATACAAAGACTATCCAGATTAACGTCTAATCTAAATGTGGCATGGAAAATTATATGCAAGTTATCATGAGAGATTCTCAAGTAATAATCCATTTCGGCTCTGTTTTAGTTGATATTTCCGAACTAAAAATAAAAAGTAATAAGTAATATGATCATTTTAAATAATTATTAATTGATCATAAATGAACAGGTCCTAATAAATTATTATAAAAGGCGACGGTTTCGATTTTACTCTGAATTCAAATTATTGATAATTACATTTTAATCAAATTTATGAAACCATGAACCGAAATTTTATTTTTGTATTCATATTATTAGCTTCGCTTTCAATAGTCAATGCTATTCCTATTCCACATAAACTTCTTAAACGAACAACCGAATTTATACAATGTAAACATTCACCAATGCCGCCCCCACTCTCTATAGTGATTTCACCTGATCCTGTCGTATCTGGTAACACCGAGACTTTTACTGTTTCCGCAACATTTGACCAAGATATTCCCGATGGAACTGATCTTACTGTTTTCTTTGACGATTTTAATACTGGATCTATTATAGGGGATATCCATAGGGTGCCTTTGTGTGATGATGATGGATGTCCAAAAGCTGGAATTCAATTCACTAAAACACTGGATTATTCGGATGTACCTGAATTACCTAACCCATATGATATTCTAGTTGGTATTATGAAAAATACTGATGTATTGGCCTGTGCAATTGCTCCTTTTATTTTCAAGTAATCAAGTTTCTCTTACTTCTATAGCTTTTTACAAGTCTTCTTGATAAATTAATTTTCCATGTTATTACATTTTTTTTATTTAAAAGAGAAATTTATTTAATTTATTTTATTTGTTATTGGTTAAATTCATCTTTATAATCTAATTCATTATACATTATCAACGACTGAATTCTTCAGATTTCTCGAGATTTCTTCTATACTTCTGAAAGAAAAAATGCTCCACTGAGAATTTACCCTTTTAGACTAACCTGTGACTTCACGATCATATACTTTTTTGAATTCCACACTTTCAAAGAAAATAATTTTACTTTTATCGCTTAAAGAAAAACAATAATATAAAATAAAAGAACGTTCTTTTATAATTACTATTGATTAAAGAAATGTTCTATTTCATAATAAAGATAATAAGATAATTTGTTTTGTACTAATATACTTAGTGGTCATAATTTTTTTTTTTTAACGAATTAGCTGGGATAGGTGGCGAATACATCGATCATACTGGCGCTATGTGCTTGTTTTAGTGCGAAAAGGTCCTGTAATCAATGATCGGATACTATACGTGAATACTGTACGCTTTCTAATAGAAAAAAAATTTCGCTTTGGCACAAATAAGTTGAAATCTAATTCAGACCTAACATTATTTTTTTAAATAAGTGAACTACTAGGACTGTACCCTAGCGGCGACCTTCAAAATATAATTAGTTTTAACATAAACTGAATGTAACATAGTAAAACAAAATACTTTTTTTTTAAAGAACCCCTAATTACTTTATTATACTTATATAATAACTGATAAATTGTATAAAAAAAATATTTCTAAGTTTGGATGAAAAATTTTATCAGTGTCATATTTAGTTATATTAATACGAACAAAAATTAATTTGTTTGATATATATAATTAGATTGTAACTAATCTGTCTTAATCTGATTCAGTTTTATTATTAATTATGACTTAATGTTAGTAATAAATTATTAGTAACTGCTAGAAAAAATTATTTTAGTAATCAAATTATTACGAAATCTTTAATAGTTCGTAAATATTTGATAACATATATTTGTAATATTTGATTAACAATTAAATTTTACAATAACTCCAAATTTTTTTTAAAAAAAACAATTACTTTTTTTTTAATATAATAAAAGTAAATAAACATAATTTCTTTTATTTCATTAAAAAAATAAATATAATGCTTAATAATTACACAAAAAAAATACCAGGTAATAAAAAATCAGTTCGTATTTGTCAGGTGATCTATGGCATAACGTAACACGATCAGCAATTAAATTTTACGTTAACCAAATTTTTTTTTTAAACCAACTACTTTTCTTTGAAATAACGCAACTTCTTTTATTTCATTAAAAAATAAATTTAGTACTTATTACATATAAAATATAAAAAACAACAGATAATAAAAAAAAGAATTTAAAAACAGTTCGTATATATTTGTCAGGTGATTTATGACATGTATGTAACACGATCAGCAATTAAATTTTTACGACAACCAATTTTTTTTTATATATAGTACTTATTATTACATATAAAAAATATAAAGAACAACAGATAATAAAAAAAATCAAAAAAAAAAAGATTATTACCAGGTTATTTTAGTCATAACAAGTTTTCGATATATATACTGTAGGTTCGGCATAACCAGTGGGCGACTGTATTCAATTGATTTTTTCATGAGATATAAATAAATTAATCGAAGGTATATTTGGTGATATTAATGATAAACAAATCTTTATCATCATTTTTAACTCTAAAGATTTATATTATAATTTGCCTTGAGGATATAATTCTTGAATTATCAAAAATCTGAATCTGAAAATTCAAAAGCCTTTCATTGGTGTCAAAAAGCAGCAGAAATTCAGTTTCGAAGATAAATTACAATGTTAATATAATGTAAGTGCTATTTATTTTTCTCACAAAATATTTGAGAGAAAATAAATTTAATCACGATAATTCTTATTATTCTAATTCTTTGAGAATTCTTGAACTTTGTAATTGCGCTTTAATTATTCAAACAATTTCGATTCGCGGAATTAAAAATTTGTTTTCATAGTTTGTTTAAAATGAAAATAGTGTTGATGTTAATAATTCAAAAAAATTGGCTGTAAATCATCATCCTCCTTATTCATTTAATTGATGAATGGAAAATTTCTAATTTGGAAATTGAAACTTTCTCAATATGAAAGAAATGAAAAAAAAACCTCTAAATTTTTTTTAAAAAAAGGTAACATTTATTATATTTATATTATTCTAAACAACAATATAAATGTAAACTATGTAATGATACTTTTGATAAATCAGAATACTCTTTCTTTCATCTTATAATAAAACATTTTAAAAAAAAATTCCAAATATACAGTATTGTTGGAATGATTGTGATAGGAATCATTTATTCAATTTTATTTAAATAACGTAAAAAAAAAATTTATCATGATTTTCTTTCTATGAAAAAAGTTGTATATATTCTATAATAGAACCGAAAATAATTATGTGACTTATAATATTTTTAATTGAAAATAATAATACAAATTATAGTATTTTTCAATATACCTTCAGGACTAGGGAGTTTATCTTCGTTATTTGAGTTGACCATCTTAAGAGTTAAAAATAATAAAAAAATTGATTTCAAGTCTAACAAACTTAACTATTTCGTATGTAAGACTAAAGTTAATAAAAAAGAATCATAATTTTTTTTTTTTTTTGATAATCTCTTAACAGATTTATTTTTTTATGAAAAAAAAATTTTCTTAAATCTTGCAAAAATAATAAATTTTAACGATGACGTTTTATACGTTTTATATGTAAATTACTGCGGTACTGCTGCGGTACTGCGGTACCATGGCTGAAGTATTGACTTTTTTGTTTGGTAATACTAAAAATCACGCTGTACGTTGTGCGACTATTCGGAGAAAAAAAATTTATATAATAGGAAAACTTTAACAATTTTTACTTTTCATTTTTTTTCAACTTTCTGTTAGCTTATTATTATTCAATACGTTCGATAATATCAAAATGCAAGATACTGAAAATACAAATAATACAAATGAATGGATTAATTGGATTGAGGAAGCTGTTGATAAAGAACATTTAAAATTTTATGAATATGAAGAATTTAATAATATTCAACATATTGGTACTGGAGATTTCGGAAACGTATATCGTGCAAATTGGAAAAATTCAGGAAAACTAGTTGCATTAAAATCGTTTATTAGTCTTAATAACTTTGCCATGAAAGAAATCGTTCGTGAGGTATTTTAATGCAGTATAATACATTTTTTTTCGTCTATGAATTTTATCTAATATATTTATTTCAAATATTTTATTTTTTTATTCAGTTAAAAATTCAACGCAAAGTTGATTTCCATGATAACATTATTAGTTGCTATGGAATAACAAAACTTGAGTTAGGTATTATTAACATCACATTGATAAATATAATATTCTTTTAATCGCAAAATTTTACAAAATTTCATTTAGTAATTACTTCTTTTATTCATTAGAAAATCATAATATTTATCTGTTAGTATTTGAATACGCCGACGGTGGTACTCTTCGAAGTTATTTAAAGAAAAATTTTAACAATCTTACTTGGGATGACAAATATAATATGGCATACCAGTTATCTTGTGCCGTATCATGCTTACATAATGAAAAAATAGTGCATCGTGATTTTGTAATTTATTTAACATTATTTAATCATTAATCATAATGTATTTGTATTATTAATTTAAAAAAATTGAATATATATATATGTTTTTTTAATAGCACTCCTGTAATATACTAGTCCTTAATAACACAATCAAATTAGCAGATTTTGGATTATCTAAAAGAATTGGTGCATCGTCTAATCTTCAATCTAAATTATTTGGTGTGGTTCCTTATGTCGATCCAAAAAGCTTTAGTAGACAAAGAAATAATAATAATCAATCAACACAAATGTTCTCATTAAATGAAAAAAGTGATATTTATAGTATAGGCGTATTATTTTGGGAAATATCTAGTGGGCAGCCTCCTTTTTATGTTGAGGATGAAGAATATGATGTTGGTTTAGCTGTGGAAATTTCACAAGGTCNAAGAAATAATAATAATCAATCAACACAAATGTTCTCATTAAATGAAAAAAGTGATATTTATAGTATAGGCGTATTATTTTGGGAAATATCTAGTGGGCAGCCTCCTTTTTATGTTGAGGATGAAGAATATGATGTTGGTTTAGCTGTGGAAATTTCACAAGGTCTTAGAGAAACTGTTGCTCCTGATACTCCTGAAGAATATGTTAAAATTTATACTAGTGAGTAAAATTTTAAATTTTATATATTCTATATTTCATATTTTTATAATTTAAAAAATATTATTTAATTAATCTTAAATTAAATTTTATTTCTTAGAATGTTGGAATGGGGAACCAGATAATCGTCCAACTATATATCAAGTAGTTGATTGGTTAAATGCAATAGTTACAAAATCAGATGTAATAGTAGAAAATCATCAAATATCAAATGAACAAGAACTTAATGAGACTTCTTTAAGTACTAATAGTTCAGAATTACAAGGAGATTTATCTCAACTTATTCAAAATTTTGATAAAATGAATATTAAAGAAATTGATCCTACGGCAATAGAAAATTTTTCAACTGAAAAAGATTTTAACATTTTAGTTGATGAAATCAATGACCTTACTTATAAATTAAAAAATAAAGGAATTGGATGGAAATTAGAAAAGCAACAAACTATTGAATATTTTAATAATCATAATTTAAATTTACAAGAATTTTATAATTGGTTATTAACTAATCAAAATAGTTTAAATTCTATTTTTATTCTTGGATATTTTAATTTTCATGGAATTATAACAAGTGAAAATAGTGATAAAGCATTTAATTTGTTTATTAATGCATCAGAAAAAAATCATGCATTAGCACAGAATTTTGTTGGTTTGTGCTATGATCATGGATATGGAACTATAATAAATGAAAAATTAGCTTTTGAATATTATGAAAAAGCTGCAAATAATGGAGATATAGGTGCAATGTATAATCTTGGTATTTCATATAAAAATGGAGAGGGTATTGAAAAAGATCATAATAAAGCTTTTGAATTGTTAAAGCAATCAGCTGAAGAAGGACATATATCGGGATTAATGATGTTGGGATATTGTTATAATAATGGTATTGGAACTGAAATTGATAATCAAAAAGCATTTGAATTATATCAAAATTCTGCAAATTTAGGAGATGATGTAGCACAAAATAATCTTGCTTTAATGTATGAAAAAGGAGATGTAATTGCAAAAGATATAGATAAAGCGATTTATTGGTATGAAAAATCTGCCAAACAAGGATATGAGTTAGCAAAAAATAATTTAGAAAGTCTTCAAAATAAAATAAGTTTTTAATAAACTTTTCTCATTCAAATTTTAAAATTTTAGATCATTAGTTTACAGTATTTATTTTTATAAAAATTTACAAAATAGTAAATACATTGCCCTAAAATAATGATAGTTAAAAATTTTACCTATTTTATTATATATACTTTCTTTTATAATTAAACATAATCGTAAGAAGACATTTTCGATCTAACATATCTATTAATAATGGAAGCATATTGAGACTTATCGCGAACCTTCTATTTTTCAACGGATTTTCTTTTTATTAACTACAACAAATTAAACAAATTATAGCCAATGAAAAAAATGAATAAATTTGCCAAGTAAGAAATTTATTAATCAGAATTTTTTTATATAATAATTGAAATACTTTATTTATTATTATCTTATAAAATTATCCTGATTTTCTATTCCATCTATTATAAAATGGTATAGTCTTCTTTTTTTTTCAATAGGATCCATTTGATAGTTTTTTTTTTTGATAACTGAAGGTCCCATATGAAAAAATGAACACTACATATTTTTAAAACCCTTATAAGTATTATCTTTACTAAGACCTTTTTTAACTAAAATTTTTAATGATCGCTTCTTTTTTTCAAAATTAGAATTTACAAAATCATCATAACTCTAAATTTAATGCAACTATAACTAATTATAGTGAGATATTGAGAAATTCAAGAAGAATAAAGACATGAATATTTGAATTTATAAAAACACTTTTTAGAGAAAATAAATTAAAAATAGGAAATGATTTCCAATTTTATTTGAATTTTTTTGAGTCAACTTTTTTTTATTATGAAATAAATTAAAAATGGTATGTGATTTCATAATGGTGTAGTTAGCCGAAAAACGGAGCCTAATTCATGATTGCTGATCATCCGGACCCAGTTTAATCGCAGAAAATCCCTTGGAATTCCACGACGATCCACGCCTGAGCCGGGTCCGGATCACGTTGCGGCTAGTTATTTTTCGATTAACTACACTATTATGGTGATAAACCTTTTCTAACAAAGAAAAAATTTCATCTATACTAATAACAAGTTGCCTTAGTCCCTGATAGGGCGTTTTTAAACTGTTTAATGTGAGGCAATAACTTGAAATGAACAATACTAATAAATAACTATACATTGTATTAAGAAATGTCAAATTTTGTATTTATAAAATGAATGTTTTTGGTGAAATCATATAGTTTGCCAAACCATTGATAAATCCACCATCTAATCCTTTGTATTTGTCTTGACATAATACAGATACTGCTGATGACATTTTTTTTTTCTTTCTTAAAAAAAAAATTCTAAAGTGGAATGAATTATATTATTTTTTTTTTAATTACTAGCAGTCACCTGTTGCTTCTCACTGGGACCAATGAGTTTGTTTAAATAGAAAAATTTAGTATTATAATATAATACTAAGTAAATTAAAGATGGTTATAGTACTTTTTTGTTTATAATTAGATATTTAATATGGTAATAATTGTTAACAAAAAAATAACAAAATAATATGTATTAATGATATAAATTATATTTATAATAATGTATGATTTGATGTTTGAGTGTAGAATGAAATTTTCAAAAAAACTTTAAGATTGATGTAATATAAAATAAATTATAAAATTTATAATTAATTAATAAAATATTTGTAGTATTTTTATAATATTAAACTTATAACCAACTTAGGAAAATATTTGAACAATTAAATGTATTAGAATCTGTTCATTTCATTTATTATTATTCTTTTTGATACTCATTTTACTCAATAAATTATTAATTTAACTATATCATTTGAATTAAAATCTTTATTCAAAAATCTGGTGTTTATTTAGAGAATTTCGGATATGGATTTGGTTATTATAATCTATAATTAAATTAACAATTTCTTCAAACTATTTATCCAGCATTTAATTTAATTGAAAAATCTTAATCATCTTTCTATTAACGTCAGTCAATTTTCCTATATATTATATTGATTTTTTTAAAAAAAATAATAATTTTGTAAATATATTTAATATAATATTTTATTTTTTTATTTAATAATAAATAAAATAATAATAATATATTTGATTACTAAACTTTCATAACCAATTTTTTTTTTAAATTTTTTATTTTATTTATTTTTTTTCAACTTTTTTTCGATATTTATTAACTAAAAAAATACTCTTTTTTTGGATATTGTTATTTTTTTTTGGTTTTTTGAACTGAAATGTTTTTTTTATTGATTAAAAATATTTATGAAAGTCTTCCCAATTCTACTTCCCTTTATGTACTATGGAGTTTTTGAATATGTTTAAATAGATATTTGTTGATGAGCAATATCCATCCATTGATTTATTGCGAAGAATTTACGGCTTTAAGCATAGATCTATAATCTATAATAATCTATATTTGAAGGAGGATCTTTTGGTTATAGCTCTAGAAAATTTTAAAAAATATCAGAATTTATAAATGAGGTATAATTGATTTATCATTTTAATAAAGTACCGAATTTGTTATTTTTTTTGTAAGTTGTTAACAATGTTGAGATTATTAAATTTTAAATTGAATTATCAGTATTCAAGATGTTTTGTCAGCAATTACCCAAAAACTAAATTTATGATAATTATAAAATTTGCTGTTGAAGGAAATTTGAGAAGTAATCTTTCAAATAACTTTAACATTATGTGGATAAAAAAAAAATGATTATCTATATGGTATTTATATGGTATACACATTAATTTACATATTGCCATAAAGATTTTCATAGTAGAAATATCTTGATCGCAATCATCGCACACCTTATATTACAGACTTTAAGACCAGTAAATGAACAAAAACCAGATGATAAAGTAGTATATGGGAGTAATGCCATACATTGTTGGCACTTACGATAATAGATTTTATTATTCTTACTTTCTCCTGATCTTATTTATTCCCGCCAAGAGATAATAAATAATCTAATCACGCAACAACAAATCAAGTTTACAATGATGAAAAGTAATATTATTAAATAATTTATTGTATTTAGAAAAAAAATGAACAATGTTAAATAAAAAAGTATTTATTTAATTAAATATATAAATTTCTTTTATCGAAATTATGAAATTACACAACGAGAACCCCTGTCCCTGTTTGAATTATTTATTGCACTCCTCAAACTCTCATTGTCTCTCCGCATTTGCTCTAACATTTGAGAGTGTTGTCTTTCATTCGCTGCAATTTGTTCAGAAAGTTGTCTCTGGAATAATTCATTTTGTTTTTCAATAGCTTGATCTTTACTTTGGCGTAATCGTTCTCTTAATTCTTCAGTTCTAACACGATTTGCTTCTTGTTCAGAAACTTGTCTCTGGA